GTGGCTATTAATTTGCTAGATGTAGCAAAGAAGAACCCTCGTTAAGTAAATTTGACTTTACTTCTTGTAACCCCAACTGTCCTTCCAGTCCATAAACACTGCAGGACAAGGTGAGGTCGAAGTGACCGAGGCACTTGACTCAGGCACAAAGTTTAAGGAGAGGCCAAAAAAATCAGTAATTAAGGTAAATAATATTTTCAGACAATATTTTTTAATAAAAATTCATGCAAAAAAATCCATGACGAAAATGTCAAAATTGTTAGAGGCTGTCTTAGCATGACTGACTGAGTGAATAGCAGAGGTTTGTAATGGGGTCACACCCCTACCACCGTCACCCTCAGGCAGGCTACCACCTCATTCTTGACCTACGTAAGTCGTGATCACATTTTTTCCGATGTTAAAAAATGGCAAATATAAGTCATGTCCATTAGGATGGCTTTTATAAAAAACAAAGAAACAAAGGAAAAATGGGCAATAACAAGTGCTGGCGAGGATGTGGATAAATTGGAACCCTCGTGCTTTGCTGGTAGAAATGTAACGAGGTGCCGTCACCGTGGAAAGCAATTTAGTGGTTCTCCAGAGAACCAAAGAATGACCATATGATCCAGCAGTTCTAGTCCTAAGAATATACTCCCAAAGAATTGAAAGCAGAGACATAAACAGATCCTTGTACACTGATGTTCATAGCAGCATTACTCACAGCAGCCAAAAGGCAAAAACAATGCAAGTGTTCATGAGCAGACAAAATGTGGTATTACATAAATGAAATATTATTTAGCTTGCCATTAGTGAGTGCCCATAATTTCGACACCCCCGAAAGTCACAGAAAAATTGTCAAAGGGCTTTGTTTACTTTGTTGTCAAACCCGTAGCAGAAGGAATCTATGAGAACTAATGTTCTGTCTCTGAGAAGCGAGGGGGGTGTGTGTACTTGTATTAAGCTTCTAGAAACATCACCTTGGAGATAGATTAACAGCTGTTGACAGCAGACAGCCATTCTGATTGGCTGGTGCTGTGCCCATGCCATACCATTTGGCCTAAGACATCATACACTGTAATACCAAAAGGCTTTTGCGTTAATTGCAATGTATAGTGTCTTAAGCTTAAGTAATTTCTTCAAGAATCCACTGAAAACTTTATATAAATCTTTCAGAAAATAGGATGAAAGTCTTAAGAGTTCTGGCAACTTTCCAAGTTATGAACACCATTCTGGCTGTAATGGCAAGGCATCTGAATGTGGGTATTCCTTGACATGGGAATGGTGTTCATAACTTTGTAAATAACAGGACAGTCCTGTGACCTTTTTCTTAGATTATCTGTGGGTCTGCGTTAAGCGCTTGGGAAAGAAAAATCAAGATCACAGTCATGGATTCCACCACAACGTGTTTTTAAAAATGGCTCTAAGTTACATCTTCGACAGAAATGACCCTGAATCCTTCAGTCTAATTTACTTAGTCGCATTGCATTTGCTTTCTGCGGGGCTATGTGTGTATGATTTCTAAGTTGTGGACATCATGGGACTTCCATCTCTCATCCCTGTGTGTGCTTACTTCAGGATGCATGATCTAAAAATAAGGGCACAATTCATAGTAATAAAACCTCAATGCCATTATCACACTCAAAAGACATCAATTCAATATTATCTGGTATCTACTTCATATGCGTATTTCTTCAATTATCTCCAAATTGTTTTTTATGGCTATTTTTTTCTCAAACCAGGATCCAATTAAGGTTTACATATTGTACCTGGGTACCGTGTCTTCGGTTTCTTTTAATCTAGAAGTCTCCGCCTTTGTATCTATTTTTGTTTAATGGCATTGACTTTTTGGAGAGACCAAGCCAGTTGTCTAGTAGATGCTCTATATTCTCTTTGGACTGATTGGTTCCTCGTGTTATTGATTTCTCTCTCCCTTGAATTTTCTGTAACCCATCAGGTCTATGGCTTGATTCAGATTACAAATTTTTGGTAGGAACACTTCATAAGCGTATTTTGTACTGTATCCCATCAAGTGGTGGATGTCAGGTTGCCCACGATTAAGTGATGCTCAATTTGATTACTTGGGTAAGGTGATGGCAACCGACTCTCTCCTTTGTAAAGATCATGTTCCCCTCTGTGATAAGTAATCTGGGAGTGACACTTTAAAGTGTTGGTAGATTGTCACCAGCAACTCCTCCCATTCCTGTTTGTATATGCTGCTCCTCCCAACAAGGTAGAATCTATGTTCATCCCTTAAATCTGGATTGGCCTTCTAACTTGGTTAGACCAATATAATGTAGTAGAAGTGGGATTTCCTTAAAAGGCCTTCGTTTCTCTTTTCACCAAGTACAGAAACTCAGGCCAGAATACTGAGTGAAGAGATGAAGGGACCAGCCAGCCCAGCTGGAGGCTCCAGACATGTGAGTGAAGCCACTTTTGGGATCTTTAGCTCTGGTCAACCTGCCATAACCAACACCAAATGGAGCAGAGGCAAGCCCTCTCCACAGAGCGCTGTCTAAACTGTAGTCATGAAACAACGGTGTTTTAAGCTGCTATGATTGAGTGGTTTGTTATACAGGAAATGATCTCATGTAAATATTCTGTGTGGTGTTGGTGAGGGCTGGCTGGGAAACATTTCATACTTTTCTATGCGGTCTCACACAACTTTTAAGATTTATTTTGAGGTACTTGATGCTTTCTGATGCTACTGTAATTGGTATTGCTTTTGTAATTTCAATTTCTAATTGTTGCTAGAAAACAGAATTTTTATTAACCTTGTGTCCTGTAGCCTTGTTCAATTCAGATTCTAAGTTTATATTAATTTTGATTTTCTACATATATAATCATGTCATCTGAGAATGATCATTTTATTTCTTCCCTTTGTATTTTTCTTGCACTGGCTAGAACCTCCTGTATAAAGCTGAAAAGGAGTGGTGACAGTAGGTATCTTCTGATCTCTGGGCAAGAAAGTTTTCAATAATTCACAATTAAGGATGGTTTTTGCTATAGTTTTTTATTTATTTATTTATTTTGGTGATGCTCTTTATTAAGATGCTCCCTTCTATTCCTCACTTGTAAAGTTTTTAAAAAATTTATAAATGGGTGCCGAATTTTATCAAATGTTTTGCATGATTCTTTAAAGCTAACATAACTTTTTTCCTTTACTTCTGTCAACACTGTGGTAAATATTAACTTTCCAATTTCAAACTACAGATAGGCCTTGCTTTTGCACGACCCCATGTCAACTGAAACACGCCAATTTCCGTGGTGTAAACATTCCCACTGTGGTAGATTCCAAGCTGCCCACGTGAGGCCACTGAACTCAGGTGGGACGATACGTGCACTGCTGGTTCCTGAGTACCAGGATGAGCTGCTCTGGCACACCTGATTTTGGTTCCCAAAAACCAAGATGAAATTTACCACAACTTCATTAGACCGGGAAGAACAAAGCCACTGCAAACGATCTATTCTATAAAGTCTCACGGACAATCCAGGAAGTAGATAAAAATAAGATTGTAACTCCCTTACTCTTTCAAGCCTTTATTAAGCACCTAATAAATATTGTCTAGTATTATGCTAATTCCAAGGGAAAATGTAACTGTTTGAAGAGCTTACAATCTAAATGATCTAAACAAGATTAATAGAATGTTTTTGAAATTTGGTGAAAAATCTTAAGATAGTAGTAGCAACTTAGTGCTAAAGAAATACAAAGGTAAGATGGACACAGTTTAGGAGTTCTTCCTGGAAGAGATTATATGGGTTATGAGCTAAATCTCAATAGAAATACTGGGATTTGGAGCAGCGGAGAAAAAACATTGATAAGAGTAACAGAATAACATAAATGAAAGTATGAACGTGGGAAAGCACACGGCATCTCTGAGAGCCCATAAGCTGAGGTGATACTGGTCCATACGGGCACTCCATGTTGCCTCATTTGTAAGTGTCAAGCAACACGTATGGCAACAGTGTTAGAGGGGTATGCCTCAATTTCTCAACTACGCAGTGGCAAGTGGCTAAATAGTACTTCACATTAATCATCAAATATACTCTTTGTTTTTCTGCCTGTAGAAGATAGTGAACTCAAAAGTCAATTTTCTAGTGAAATACTTTGTAATTAAGGTCTCTATTTTTCAGGCGGAGGCAAAAAATGTTCTTACACGTCCAGGGTATAACTCATAAAGATGCTTAGGTAGGTTTTACTTGTTGGCTCAGAAAACATCTCTCCAAAATTTCGTAATGGTCAAAGTCAAGACAGAGCCTGAACATTTTAGTTTCTTCTGTTTATCCATCTACACAGAACACATGGAAATGGCCTATGTTCTATCACTCTAGAACAAGTCTAAAATGATTAGATTCCATTAATAGTTTTGAACCAGAAATGTAGAAAATGGAGCTATGGCTAGAAGTGATACGGATACTGAGACATAGTTCTCAAAGCACATGTAAGAACTAAGTTTGATGAAGTATCTACTTACCAACACTATAATTACATGTGATTTGGTTATATGTTTGAACAATTTAAATAAAACGCTTCCTCAAATCAAATTCTGGACTCACAAAACCTTCTGGATTTCAATTATTATGTAAATATAATAAAATATAAATATGTTGATTCTCCTGGTATAACAACAATACTATATAATCCTGGGGCTGATAAGGTATATAAACGATCATGTAAGACATCCGCAAACAATTCAGTATTGATCTACCAAGTTAATTCCCAGCGTTCACATTAAAATTGTTGAAAAACAGGATTTTCATACATATATATATTCTTTTTTCTTTTTCTTTTTTTTTTTTTTTACACCTGCAGCACCTGGTCTTCCTAGGTGGTCGCCCATTCAAGTACTAGCCAGGCCCGGCCCTGCTTAGCTTCCGAGATCAGACGGGATCAGGCATATTCAGGGTAGCATGGCCGTAGACTCATGTATATATTCTTAATAATTTTTAATTTTTGTATCTCATCAATGTAGATATTTTCTCCTCTACAGAAGATCCCAAAATAAAGAAGCGTACACAGAATATAGCCAATAGTAGGTTATATCAATTTAATTCACATAAGAACAGCATTTTTCAGGTCTAGGATTTCCATTTAATATCAACAAAATCTGTACAGAAAACCCAAAGGCAACCATGTAGCATAATATGTAAATGTGCAAATATACTTTAAAATGCAATTCATTCTACAGTATCTGCAAAAAACTTTATAGTAATGAAGAAATCTACCTCATTCTAGCTAACTGAATAACTCTTTGCATGTATAGCCAATGCAAATGTACAAGGCACAACTTAGTGTTGATGCTTAAGTGTGTAACATATCCTTAGATTTTTTATTTGAAGGTATTAAAATAACATGATGTTTGTAATTTATTACTTAATGAGACAACAGCTCATTTCTAAAGCTCATGAAGCATTACACCAGTAACACACGTATCGTCAGGACAAATTGTTCCCTGAACTTAAAAGGTAAAAGACAAGATATCTTGCTATCCTACATTTTAAAAAAAAAGTATATATATATATGTATATATATATGTACAGACACACACCCATATCACACACAAGAAACTTCCTATAATCTAAAGGAAGGTCATTCCTTTTAGCAAAAGTTCCCATTACAGTATTCCTGGAGAGTTATTTAAAAAGGACATATTTATTTACTACTAGTTTTGGTCAATGTTACTACAAAAAGACAACGAAATTGACAATTTTCTCCTGCAAGATAAAGACGTCTAATTTAGAAATTCTTTCTCTTGAGATTGCACAGTGAAAGGTATTATTTAGTTAAATATAAAAGCTTGCTGACTTTTAAAGAAATTATTTAAATCTACAAAAAGAAAACGTTAACTTATCAAAAATCAATTAAGAGCCTTGGTTAGAACACAATTCAAAATCTTTTAAGTCCAATCACAGTAATCTTTGCTGTTCTATTACCCATCCCTGAGAGTTAAGATTTTATCATTTTTTATTTTTAATAAAGTAAATAAATTTACATTGATAAGAATGATGCTTAAGAAATTTTTCAAAATATGAAATAAGCCCTATTTCATTTAGTAAAAGAAAAAAGATAAATGCTCTTTACGAAGACCACTCACGATTCATAACAATTTTAAATGTTTGTATCTCAATCAATTTTAATCCTCTGCTTACTGGATAATTTCTATTTTTTTGCCATTCACGTATCACGTATCCTCAATTCGCTGTTTTATAATTTTTGTTAATAGGAGCATTTAATTGGTAATGGAGCAAAAATACATATAAAACTTAAAGGAATGCTGATTCCCTGTGGTAAAAGAGTTTTACTGGAAATAATCTGAGTGCCATCCAAGAAAGGCAAAAATACCTATGAAAGACCATACGTGGTAAACATCTTCCTCGTCGTCTTTGGTTTAGCCTTCTTGGCCAAAATCTTCTGTAAACTTCTTTAATTTCAACAAGTCATGTTCATTGACGGTGGGTTTTGTGCTAGATAGTGACCGTAACATGTCCGACTGCCAAGGAAAAGAGGTAGGGGGCCGCGTTAGCAACAGATCTCAACATCGCGTGGTCAGCATCGTTACTTTCACTTAGGTTAAATCTGAGTATCTGCTGCAGTATGCCGCAAGCTACTGACGATAAACTCTCATTCTTCTCAAGGACCTATTTCATTTAGTAAAAGAAAAAGCTCTGGCCATGTTATTCCTTCACATACAAACTTTTGGTTGCTCACCCTTCGGTTGCTCACAACCTTCAATAGCTGCTCTTTACCCGTCAGTCCTCTTAGCCTGAGGATCAAGACCCTCCAAAACATGCCCCTGATCTCTTTTGTGGCCTTATCTGTTTTTGTCTTAAACAAGAGAGCAGTTTTCCAAGTGCAATTCACAAGGAATATAGTCATTCACTTATACTTCTGTGAAACAGAATACGACTTAATCAAAATCAACTTAATAGAATTTTTAACTATTCATTAAAATTTAGATCGAAATTATATTAAAACTTTGTAAAAGAACCCAAAATTGTAAAAGAACCCAAACTTTAAAAAAAAATCAAAAATTAAAACAAAAAAGGGTTTCTAAATAATTTCTCAGATAAACAGTATGGTTAATTAACACATAAATACATCTATATATGTGTGTGAATGTGTGCACACATTCACATGCATAATTATATATGTATATGTACATACATGTATATATAGCTATGTCTACGAACAAACATGTAAAAGTTTCTCTTCTAGAAGTTACTGTACACTGACAATAAAGCTCTTTGAAAATCTATAACTGAAGCAGAAAAAAATTTTTAAACTGTTTGTAAGAAAACACAAACGTAATAAATGTACCTCTTCAATCACATAAGTTCTTTAAAAAATAATATGCCTTACAAGGTAATAAAGTCTTATAAAGTATTTTAATTCCTTCAATATAAACTATTGAAATGTAATTTTTATGATAAAAATTGTTTCAGAATATTTTAAAGCTTTAAACTTTCTATGTAGCCTTGAGAAATAAAACAGAAATATACCATTACGAATACTATGATGCATGCATGCATTGGGGTTTCTGTATATTTTACAATATGAGATTCAGAAAAAAATCTTTTCACCACTCCTACTTTTTAGTTAAGTCTGGGAAGTAATTTATGCAATATATCTGAGAATTTTGGTAATAATATCCTAGCAATAAGACCTATAAAGTCAGAAACCTATATTTTTGAAAAATAGCATATTCATTTAAAATTAAATTTTCCTCAAGGCCTAAGAAAACATTTTAATCTGTACATTATAAGTGAGCAGTATTAAATAAACATGCTAACATTTTCTTGCTAATCTTACATAACTGAAAATTTTATCTTCGACAAATTACAATGTTTAGAAATCTTTCTTAAAATCAAACAAAATGTCAAACCATGCAAACAACTGGCTCCAAAAGTTTATCTCCAGGGACATCCATCCATGTCATTTCAATGGCACCGGGGTCGCCAGGAGAACAGGGCGTTAGTAGATCATCCACTAAGTTGTTAGGATCAGCTCGTGAAGGTCCTTGAACCTGGAATAAATAGTAACCTAGAATATTTATTTGAACAAATTAAATAAATATTAAGATTTAGGCCATTATCAGGAAATTTGAAAATGCACTATTATTTCACGTTTCATTAAAATGTTTACTTTTGAAAAGAAATAGAATATACAACAAAAAGTGGTTATCTTGGAGTGAAGGAATCGATTTCACTTGATTTTAATTTTTTCTTGATTTTTAAAATATTTTAATATTCCTACAATGAATTACTTATATAATCACAAGAAAATGAGTTAAGAGTAAAAAGAAAAAAAAGAAACAGTTACCTGTGGCTAAGATTTTTTTCTATAATGCTTATTAAGTGGTAATAATCCTAGAGATCAAAAATAGACCTACTCAAAAATTCTCTGAAGTTTCTCCATTTTCTATAGCTGAGAAACTTTCATGGTATTTGGAAAGTTTATTACTGTGAAATTACTGAATGTTTCTGTTCCTCATAACAAAAACTCCTCCTTCAAATATAAGTACAAAATTAAATGCTAATTCATAACTGATATTGCATTGTGTGTTCACCATTCATAGTTAGATTTCTGTCACCACATATTTAACCCCTTTTACCCACCTCTGGTAACCTTAGTCTAATGTCCAGGCCCATGAGTCTCTGTTTGTCCTGTTTGCTGGTTGCTCTTCGAGTTATATCCTACATGTAAATGGCACTGTGTGGTTTTAGTTCCTTACCTTCTTAAAATGAGTGGCTGATTGAACTTTCCTAACGGGCTGCATGAGTGCATCGCGCACAATGATGCTTATGTCTGCCCCCGAGTAGCCGTCGGTTTTCTTCCCCAGCTCCCGGAAGTCCGTTTCTGTCAGGCTGTTCTGAGTGGCCCCCAAGTGCAGTTTGAACATTGCGGCTCGGGCATGGGCCTCAGGCAAAGGAATATAAATTCGTTTCTCAAATCTTAAAATGGAAAAAAAATATATATCAAGAATGTTACTATGTGTATTTCATTTCAATTGAACATTAGGATATTTTCAAGAAGAAACAAGATATTTAAATTTTCTCTTTTCTACAAAGTTAAGCTGAATAAGTTAAATGGGTCCATATGTGTCAGAGTTAAACATACATTTAGGTTAAATAAAGGGAAAACATCCAGAACATGTTACCAAACACATAAAACCAAAATAGCCAGGGAACCAGTTAGGAGTGGTTTGGTCCTTTTCACACAATTTGGGGTGACTCTGGCTACAGTGTTTGTGTATGGGATCCATGACACGGCGCGTCCCACAGGGTCAGTTTCCCACAGAACTATGCCCTGAACCCCTGATCAAGGGAACAATATGATTATGATTAACAGTATGACACAGGAGATGACAAAATAATTCTCTGAATTCAAAATAGTAAAATGACTCAAATCTTATAGAATAAACATATACTTACTATATAAAATGTGTACTTTATTATAATGGGTATAACAGGTACTCAGAACAAATAATTCCATTATCATCACAAATAAACACCATGTTTTATTAACAATAATACTGCTTGCCTTCTTAGAATGTCAGTATTTGGTCATAGGGAGGAAGCGATGAGGGACAATCTAAGTGGTCTGCAAAGATGTCTTTTCCTCCAGGTGTCTCTCTGAGACAATGAGAAGAATCTAAAAAGTTTTCATGATCTCCAGAGTGGTTCAGAAATAGGCCATTTTTCAAAAATAACCAGCACATTTCCTTCCTTGGTACCGAATGGTAATCTAGCAGCCTGGCAGACCATCAGTAGATGGGACAAAAGTGGCAAAAACTGTAGTGTTTTTACCGTGAAAAATTGAAGGAATGGAATAGGGAATTGTGAAGCAGTAAAAAACAGTGAGAGTGGATACATTTCCTGTAGCTCAAGTTTCATATTTAATTTAAAAATCACAGACATACGTTTTTTAACTGAACATGCATCTCGGTTATTATCTTTTAACTTGTGTAATTGTCATTTTGCTAAAGTTTTATATGAAAAATTTTCATTGAAATATCAAACTATTATTTGTAAATTTCTGAAGCATCAGTGCTTACTACGCTTAATCAGAACTAAAGTTAAGCATTAGTTATATTTACCAATGTGAAAGATTCCAGCGTGTGGAAATCTCATACCTTTGATATAGCAGGCAAACAAAGAGATGCCCCCTCTCTTTCTCTGAGGCACAGGGGCAGTAGGGTTAGGGCACATTAAAAAAATTCTGAAAACTTATCAGCACGTCTCCTCACTAGACAGGACGGGAATTAAAATTCACTTGTTACGTCTGTAGTTAGGAATAAGGTATTTACTGCGGCATCATACCTTCGCCTAATGGCAGAATCCAGAACCCAGGGTATATTTGTAGCTCCCAGAACCAAAATTCCATCATTGTCCACACCAACTCCTGCATCAAAATAGGTAATATTTTAAATATTTTATCATTTTAGTGTTCTTCAAAACTTGTCTATATATTGTTAAGAATGTGATGCTTTAACATTTAACTCTCGAGAGTCTCTGAAAAAAAACTGTATTTAATCAAATATCAAATTACTAAAATATGATGCAAATATTCTCGAGAATCAAATCTCCTAGATGGACAAATACTATTAATATTCTTTTCAAAATAGTTCTTGACAGATTTCATTTGAAGTCTACACATTCCTCTTGCTGATATCGTTCCTGGTACAAGTAACATATGCATGTCTTTACTATTTATACCGGCAAGTCCTACAAGATGATTACATTTGGGTAAAAATTATGTATGTATGTGAAAGACACTCAGAATGAAACATGCCATAGATGAAACACGTAGTCTGTTAGAATGGAGAAATTATGCTTGGATTTTTTCATTACTGTGACCATAACGGTTACACAGCAAATACAGACTGTTTTGAAAATCGGTGGCACAACCTTGCATTTGAACCAGGAACTCCGTCTTGATTCTTCGTGCAGCTTCACTCTCATTTTCACTTCTTGAACCACACAGAGAATCAATTTCGTCAATGAAGATAATGGAAGGCTTATTCTCTCTGGCAAGTTGGAATAAGTTCTTAACTAGCCTAAAAGTAAATGAAAGCGTTCAGTTTTTAAAAAATAGTAAATGACACAAGACTTGATGAAAAGATGAAAACAAAACAATCTGCACTATTATAGGAACTCGACTGATTCGACAGAGAAATGAATACCTGTATTATGTCACTTCTCTGAATGTCTATTATTGATGTAAGAAAACTAATACTCTATAGACTGATATAGTGACTACCAGGCAAAGAAAAACTAAACAACCAATTTATTACTTACTTTTCGCTTTCACCTAGCCACTTAGAAACAAGGTCGGAGGAAGATATTGAAAAAAATGTTGAGTTGTTTGCTTCTGTTGCTACAGCTTTGGCTAAATAGGACTTTCCTGTTCCAGGTGGCCCAAATAATAGAATTCCTCTCCAAGGTGTTCTCTTGCCTAAAATTTGCATCAGAAAAAACAACATGAGAATTTCGAAACTGTTAATTTCAATTACCAGAGACATCATCCACACTGAAGAATATCTTGAAGAGGTTTTCACTCTAAAGCTAGCAGAATGAACAAAAATATTTTAAACACATCAATCTAAGGTAAGTCTCAAATGGATTTTATTTGCTCTCTTTAGAGACCACTTTGTCAAAAGTATGTGTACATGGATATAATTCTTCTAATACGAAGTTCACTTGCTTGCTCACTCATTCATTCACCACTGTGTACAGAAGCCACCACACCCAGAAAGAGAACTGTGAACACAAAAGGCTCTCTGGTCATGCCACCCTGAACAAGCCCAATCCCATCTGATCTCGGAAGCTAAGTAGGGTCGGGCCTCGTTAGTACTTGGATGGGACCACCTAGAAAGACCAGGTGCTGTAGGCGTAAAAAATTTTTTTAAAAAAAAGGATTGTAAGCTGACAAGGTCCTTGCAATCTGTGAGGTCAACCAAGGGTTGCCTTGCCTAAAAAAATAAATAAACAAAAGGCTCTTGGCCCTCTGTGCGGGCTCAGCTCTGGGAAGGGGCAACCGCTCAGCCCAGAGGCACCTCTGCCACCTCCTGTACGTGCTGCCTGACGCCAGAATATTGTTGGAGAAACTAACTGCATCCACGGGGGAGGGGCAGCTGGAAGTGTTTTCTTGTAAACATTTACGACCTTTAGAGGAATGAAACTATCACAGTTTGGGTGACCCCTTGTGAAGTTTGGTTCAGTTCCTGATCCACAGGGAAGCACGGATTATTACATGTAGCATACACACTCAAACAGCTGTATGATGAGAAGGGGACTCTACCTTAAGTACCAAAAATAGAACAAGTGAACAAATCAACTCCTTGTATCTCAATTTTGCTAACGAGGAATTATAATGCTAACTAATTAAATAAGGCCTGGGTCACGCCTGCCAATAAAATAGCAAATATATATTTAAAAACCTGCTAAGTGTCAACTGTGGGTGGGTATAGTGTCTGCAAAAGAATGATATGCAGATGACTAATACCAAAACTAAATATTGTTATACTGATTGTTTCTACAGCCTCGACTTTTGCTTCAATTGTTTTCCTTTTTTAATGTTTGCAATTATGTCAGTGTTTCCTGAGTGGGGTACGTATACCATTGGTAAAATATGAAGTGCTTTTAGGTGGTTGACAAATATTTTTTGTTTAAAGAATTACCTTTTGTATTAGAAAAGCATTGATTTTTCCATTTACAATAGATACGAAGCAGTCTTTTAAAATAAAGTTACTAAGATAAAATAAGTGATTTAAAAGTTCAAATACAGGCAAAACAATATTTTGGGGGCAAAATATGATTCTTGACAGATTATCTCTGGGGCGGGGGGGAGAGGAACAGAGGAACTTCTGGGTCACTCGTGCTTTGTGATCTGGCCGATGCTCACGCAGACGTACTCACTTTGAGATAATTTTGAAGGTGAACACTTAGGGTTCCTGCCTGTCTCTGTACATTTATGCTGCACTTCAATAAAAAGTTTGCTCTAAACGTGAGTGATTTAAAGGAAAATATTTTTAAAATAATGATATATGTATATGAAAAAATTTATGAAGATGGCACATAAATGACTCACGTTCAAGAAACACTAGTATAAATAATTCAACATAAAACGAGTTCGACTGCATTTGTGCCTTTACAGGATTATGATGTCCACTTTCACACTGTTAGTGTCACATTCTTGAAGTCGGTCTGTAAGTGGTGCCTTGAAGCTAGGTGGCCAACGGCTGGTTTGCTCTTCATCCCTGCTCTATGCGACTTCACTGTCTAGACCTGTTCACTGTCTAGACCCGCTCAGTATGAGCCAACATTAGATTTGCTCTCTACATAAACCAGCCTGTTTTTAAAAGGAAAAACCTCTGTTTCTCTGTTAGACTGTGGGTACAGTCAAAGCACAAACAGGCTGTCAGTCACAAAAGGACAATGCAAAGGAAAATCACCCACTGGAGCTGTCACTTGAACTACACCCAGATGGCAGGTCAGCTGTGCCCCCCAGTGCCATGCGCTTGTCCGTGTGCTACCAGCGGACACTCACTTTATCCAAGAGCGTTAAGTACTCCTTACTCCTCTTTATAAGACGTGGACATACTCCTATAAAACTAGTACATGTCCATTACAAAAAATTCAGATGAAATTCAAAAGAAAAAGTGAAAACCAACCACCTTATCTCCTGAGTACACATTAGCATATTTATGTCGATCCAACTACACTTACTTCTCAGCACACACATTTATTTATCAAATGTGGAATCACACATACATGTGTTATAACTTGCTTTTTGATCTTTATAATACATGTGGATGTTCTCCCATGTCAAAATTTCTCGATGTAGCTGTACACTGTATTTTAGTCAGTGCACAGTACACCACTGCATGTTGATGATTTACCTGGCTGACACTGAGGATGTTTTGCAGTATGTATATTAAAAATATGTATATGTAATAAATATCTTTGTGTAAAGGTTTCTCGCCGCCTTAAAATTTAAGGTAATAACTCATGATATGGTGAAAAGAATTCACGATGCTTTACCTCAGTCATTAACATGGTTTCAGAAAATCATCAAAATCATCCAAAAAAATTATTTGAAAGTTGTCTCACCTGTAAAAAGATGAGGGAATTTAATAGGCAATATCACGGCCTCTTTAAGTGCTTCTTTGGCTCCTTCAAGACCAGCCACATCACTCCATTTCACGTTTGGTCTCTCTATGACAATGGCACCTACAAAAAATTATGTCATCTTTAAGGACTAATCCATTAAATGTAGAAGATAACATGAAATAACGCGTTGAGGAAATACATGATAAAACTGTCTTGAAAAGTTTTACGTACTGAAACTCTTTCTGAAACGGTGTGATGCGGAAGCAGCTCTAGGGAGCAGTGGGTGGGAGCCGGGAACCTGGGGTGGGTGGCTCGAAAAGCTGGGCTAAGTCACTTTCCTATGACGGCTTCCTCACTGCGAGATGAAAATCATATCATCTCCCCAAACTACTCAGACAGGTTAGTGTGAGGGTCAAGTGACCTTATGTTAGGTAAGGTGGTTATAATGTTTCGATGCATTAATTCTGGAGTATTGGAAGTACTTGTTCAATGGGGGCTGATCTATTTCTCCTTCTAACTAAAACAAAAGCAAACAAAAAACCCAACCACCACCACTACCACCACCACTATCAAAGAAATGGTGATCTAATATTTTCCTTTAACCAAAGAAAGAAAATATACTTAACTATGAGACAGACATAAAGAAACTGAAAGATGAACAGGTAGAAAGGAGCAGGGAAGGGAGGGGAAGGACGGGAATGATGGAGGAGAGAGAAAATGTACCCTTATAGATCTGTAATACTTTCACGAGATTCGCCAAATTTTCTGTTTGGCTTCTAAACAGACCTATTTACAAGTTTTGTACATTAACAAAGTTATTTAAATAATTTAGTTTTTGAATGTAATATATTCAAAAGCCACAGCAATTGCTGCAGTAAGAGTCCACAAAAGATTTCTTTTACTATTGCTTATTGGCAAAACTTTCTAGTTTATCTTTCATCAAACGTTCTTTCAATTTTCCAGTATGTAGAAACTGCTCAACCACCAACTACTGAGCAGCCTGTTCAAAGGTGACGTGTATTTGTTTTAAGTATAACAAAACATCACCACTTACACAATCTACTGATTACCTATGAAATTAGTTTTATGGATATTTCTTCTTGTTAGCAAACATCTATTATTCTAAGAGTAGTTATACTCTGCAACTTCCCTAATAATGAAAATCTTTAGCTAGATTAAAATTAAATAAAACCATCAGCACTTTTTGCATTCTAGATTTTCTAAGTGTGAATTAAGAAAGCCAATTCACTTTTTATTTTCTATGTTCCATTCAGATTAGTAACTCTACATGAGAAAAAATTTACATCCTCAGAGAGGATTTGTGTTAGTTAAACAAAAGTAAATTTACTTTATATATAAGCATCATGTGGTCAACTAAAGTTTTTTGCTATGGATTTTCTAAATATGCTATAATTTATCTTCACATTTAACTAATACTTTTTTCCTTAAGTTTTAGATGACTTTGGAATGTTTAGTGATAAAAGATTATTAAGATAAAAGTATTATTAATTACTGGACATTGCTTAATGGTTTGTAAAATTTAAAAGAGGGGAGGGATTATTGGAAAATAAAAGCCAAATAAGTCGATTGTTTCCAATTATATAAATTTATCCAGTTTTTGATTATACTACTTATTACACTAATATATTGTTTAATTTCAAAAGTCAATGAATATCAAATGTAGCTAACAAAAAATCATAACCTCTTAATTTTAACAATCGAATATTGCACTTAATGTCATAACCTAAAACAAAAGTAAAAGGTTTAAAATACTGTTTCAGAAAAAAAGAGGAAAAAGTAAACTATATTATACAATGAAGTAGATCAGCAAACTATTAAATTAAAAGCTGCAAAAAAAAAAAAAAAATGATTCTCAGACAGAAAAAGCTGGGACTCCTTTCATACTCCACACTTCATCCTGACAGTCCAAATAAATTTCCTCATTTAAATGTTTTATGCATGTCTATTTTTATATTTCTCTGGTCCTTATCATTACTGATTTTTAAAGAGAAATTTCCTATTAAAAACTGGGTTGTATTGTTTTCAAAATCAGAGATGCAATCCAATTTTTACTGGGGTTAGGCAGAGCTCGAGAGAAGGGGAACAAACTGAAACCGAGAGGACAGAAAAAAGCTTTTTGCCTTACAACTGAAATAAGGCCACTTGGCACGGACCACTGGGTTGGCCAACAAAACTCAGTACAAAGTACGTGACCCCACTGCTCTAGGTGGTGGTGGTGTGGTAGTGGAAACACAGGTCTGCCCTTGGACTACCTCCACCACTGAAGTTCTTGGCATATAAATACATCCTCACTAACTGTAGTGTTTTCAAGACACTTACAGTATTCTGTACATCCCAGTGGGGTTGGTGAGACAGAAATGACGTTACAGAAATGACGTTACCGAAACAAAGAGCCCAGAAGAGCGAGGTTAAAGGTCTGGCCCAGCTAGGTACAATCACCACTCACTAACAAAAGCTGAGCCTATACAATGGAAATCCACCCCTGTTTTGTATTCTATTTGGCAAGATTCAAATTAACAAAATACATAAAATTCAACTTGAAAAATCAAAGAACAATCTAATCTCAGTAATAAAGAAGCCAGCAATTAAATAGATGACTTTTTAGATACACGAAGCTATGATTTATTGAGTTTCTATAATTTCTCTGATATAATATTAAGCAGTTTTTACAGTGTCAGTTATCTTTAACAGCCCTGAGAAAATATTATTAATTTTTATTATGGACCTGGGGTCTCAGACTCTGAGATGGAACTTGCCCAAAATTTAACTAGCTGACCTGGAGTGGAATCCAGATCTGAATGGAACCAAAATCGACCCCTCCACATCATACCACGAGCCTACTGAAGAGAACGAAAGGGCTTTTACAGATGCGGAAGGTAAAAACAGAAAGTGAAAAGAGATAAATGTAAATGGCAGCGCTGAAACAGGATTAAAAAGTAGACAGGAAGAGCAGGCAGGAAAGATGAAATCAACCATAAATGCATAAGCTACAGCAATGAAAGCCAGTGTAAGTCTTAATTCATTCTGCTCCTCTGACAGGAAATTTTAGTACCATCAGCTATGATAGCGTGCTAATGGTATAAATGCTACCTTCCCTAAAAGGGGGTAAATAAGATAAAATAAAAGAGAGGAAGTTGACTGACAGGCTCGTTAAGGTGGATATAAAACCAAACAACATATTTACTGCATAGAAAGAAACCAACTCTATAGAGACCCCATAGAGTAAATCCTATGAAAATGACCACAAAGCCAGCATGTGACCACTGGGAACTAAAGCCAATCCTTGAACCTCATCTAAATATAGGGAGGAAAGAAAGCAATTCAAACAGACAATTCATTATGAGACTTGTTTTTAAATAAGATAGTAAATTTAAAAATGAAATCTAAGCAACCTTGAAGTTGATTCTGCAGTTTCTTTTTTTCAGGATCATCAGATTCTCCTTCCCCATCACTGTCATTCCTAATAAAAAGAATTTAATATATTCAAATGATCATTGTTCTCAAAATAAGGCAAAAATGAAGAAAGGTTAACTTGAAATATCTGTAATATAAATGGCAAAATAAGATATTCACACTAAAGTTATGCTTATTTTACTACTAAGAATATATTAACTATTAGGTTTATTACTTATCAATATGAAATCGTAAACAGGAAAGGGGCAAAAAGACCAGAATGAAGTCAGGAACTAACTTCAAATTCCCACGACATACCCTTGTATGTGTTCATTCGTAAGTGCGCACTCCACGCCTCATTCCACAAAAAGATTTAAGATGAATTACAGGAGTTGTAAACGACAATAAAACGCCAGGACCAGGCAGACTACAGAGCAGAACAAGAAGCTGTAACTAGGAAGGTAATACCCAACGTTAGGGTACGGAGGTCTATAACCCTTACTTAGTTCGGAGGTTCCAAAGGATGGATGAAGCTTCAGACAAAAATGAACCAAAACCCAGGAATAAGTTGATCCATCCAGACATTTCACACCTAGGAGTTTATTGAGGAAATAATTTAAAATGAGTTCAAAGATTGGCTCCATGGAGAATCAGGCCCACTATTCGAAACAGGAAAACAGAAGAATGTGTGTTCAGTCACAGAGACTAACATAGGGTAGAATAAATCGTAATCTTAATAAAAAAGATGTTGCAGAAATAGTGTATTGGAAAGATGTTCAGGATGCAATGTTGAGTAAAAACTGATGGAGCAAAAAAATGTGGCATTACATCATTTTTGTTCGTTAACCCTTTAATGAAAGTCATGCTCTTACAGAAGTACATGTGGGCTTAGGTGAGTATCATTTTTTAAATAGAAGATACGAAGGTGGATAAAAAGCCTGACAGGTTTCATTCCCAAATGGGACAGCCTTGGCTGTAGGGTGGTGGGGTTACGGGCAGTGCAGAGCCTGCAAACTGACCCGCCAAACCTCCCTCCGAACCCCTCTCAGCACAGAGCTGGGCACGCACACACCGAACAACAAACTGCGTCTGTCAGTGGCATAGTCCCTGCTCAGGAAGACATTCCAAAACTGGGTTTCGATGCTTCTAAATTATGTTGCGTTAATGTCTTTACAATGACAAAATAAAAGCAAATCTAAAGCAAATCTACCTCAAAAACTTTACAGAAGATATTCAAAAACTTAATCACATTATTGAAGTTATTTTTTATTTTGTCCACATGGTCAGTACTAAGAGTCAATAATGCTAGTCACAGATTTAATTCACGGATCCCTCCTATAATTTTAAATTTCAATATTACAGAATGGCCAGAGAGTGAAGAATTGAGTACCATTCCTACAAATGTTTCATCCTGCTACTACCAAGTGCTCACGGAGGGTCATCTGAGGTATGTCGTACTCTAAACTAGGTAAACCAGGGGTCAGCAAACTTCTCTGTAAAGGACCAGACAGTCAATATTTTAGATTTCGTGGAGCATACAGTCTCTGTTGCCACCACTCAACTCTCCTGGTACAGCACAAAGGCAGCCACAGGCTGCAGGTAAACAAGCAGGTGAGGCTCTGCTCCAATCGAACTTTATTTACAAAAACAGGCGGCAGGTCAGATTGGGCCCACGAGCAATGGCTTGCCAACACTTAGTTTAAACAAAAGAAATTCATTTCACAAACACAATTTAATTTTGTCTTTAATCAGATGTAATAAAATCTAACACTCTAAAATGCATACCCCTTCTCATCAGCTGGACTCGGCTGTCCCTCCTTCACTGGCTTCTGCGGTCTCTTCTCTTTCTTTTTCAGGTACTCCTTCAGCTTTTCTGCGCGATCAAGATACTCCGTACACTTCACCCTTATACTCTGCTTGGCCTTATCCCCCTGGGCTTCATCTGTTGAAGGGAAATGAGAGAGGTTTCTCTATCAGTGTCCTACGCAGGCAGGCTTCAGCTATTAGATACACCTTTAAACGAAGGAAAGCTATTTGAGGGGAGGAAGATCACCTCCAGCTCATCGCAACCAAGGATTATCAACTCTTTCTACTCCTTCCTCCAGCAGGGCTGGAGGCCATCAGTGGGTGTGAGTCACAGAGAGATCTGAGCAAGACCCTACCATATTTTAATGTTACCCTACCATACCATATTTTAATGTGACCCTACCATACCAATGTTAATAAGAAGAAATTACTTAATTTTCTATGGGTTTCATACTCTTCCTTATATTTTGTATAGGTAGTTGAAAACTCCTTGTCTCATACAAAACCAATTATAAGACAAATAGAAATAAACCAATATTAACCATTTCCATTAATGTCTACATTAGCTTTATTTCAGAGTATAAAAAGTGACAGAAATGCCATCTATTTTGTGTACCACTGATACAGTAATTTTACTACCTAGAAGCTTCTGTGAGGGCTGTGTGAAGTCTTTGGGCAATACATGCAGTGCCTGGGATTAGCTCCACGTGCCTTATGTCTTCTGATTCGTTCTCAGTTTCACTTAATTTGACAGAAAAAACCTCAAAATTAAATGTAGAAGCCCAAAAGAAAATAAATGATCCAACTGCTAAAATTTTTATTTAAAAACAACTTTAAGTTTACCGGGAAGATGTCCTTTTAAATATCTCATTTCGCTACGTTCAGCACTGGGCTTCAGAAAACCATTTCTCCCGCACTGCTGTACCCCAGTGCCTGACATGTGGTAAACATGCAACGTTTGGAAAATACATGAAAGAACTGTTTTCCAACCCATTTTAAAAAGAGTATTTTCAAACAGGTGCTTAGAAAATGAGGAGGTTCACATTATTTAACCTGGGTATATTACCAATAAAATAAAAACTCATTTCCTTTGACTATATGACATTTTAATGTGTTTAGGTACGCAAAGTAGTAGTACCTATGATAGCCGTGCACGCTTGTTAGCCAAGTACCTAAAAACTGTCTGGATGAGGACTAAGAAAGCCAGTGGGATTTTGCAAATTGATGGCTTAGAATTTTCTGGTATTATATTTCAATTTTTATAAATGAACTAGGATAATTTTCTCTTTTTGTGTTTTTAAATGAAAAACAAACTGTGGCCTTACATTTAACGACATGGAGAAAATACTGCACAGCATGCTGGTAGAGCTGAAGGGCTTCCTCATAGTTCCCGGCCTTGTCTTCCTGGGCTGCTTTGCTAGCAAGATCTATCGCTTTCTGTTCAAAGACAGGCAAAATCATACCGTCAAAATCAAAGGATAAGTGTAAGTTTGAAGTACATAATCATTTGAAAAGTTGTTTTTTTAAAAAATAAAATCAACCTTAAAACAAATTCATCTTTTTTCCTAAGTCACAATAGCATTTTATTATAAATTATAACTATAAAATGCAAATTAAATGTGTTACATGGGTAAATGCTATCTGAATACGACTTTACTTAGAACCACTTGCTAAGATTCTCACATAATTTTTACTTAACAAAAAGTGAAGCATAGGGCTAGTACAGAATAATCAAAAACCCAAAAATTCAAGTTAAAAAGCACTTAGGGAAATTCTCATAATCAAATGCTGCTATATCTAAAGCATATAACAGTAAAATGTAAATAGGTAAAACCCCTTCAGAAGCAATGAGGCAGTGAAATATCAAGAATCAGAAAAATACCCAAATCTTTTAACCTAGTAATTAACTAAAAGGTTTACTGAGCAAAGACAGTCACCAGAAAGGTCTTTTAAAGAACAAAAATAAACCTTGGGAGTTTATGTTTAAACAGTAAATAGATGCCACACAATGGGAAATTACAGGATCATTAAAATAATATTAAGAAACATTAGTAATAACATGGGATGTGTTTACAATGGAAGTTTTGAAAAGATACAATTTTTACATGCAGCACAGGTTCAACTATTCGAAATAACAGGAAAAAACAAGCATAGGAAAAAGATGGGAAGGAAATTTAACAGAACTTATCTTTGATAAGTTTTCTACTTTTTCACATTTTCTAAAAGTGTTCATAATGAACATGGACTATTTTTGAAGAATCAAAAAAAAAAAAAAAACTCCCCAAAATAAATCCATACAAATATGTCCAACTGACAAAGATGCAAAAGTAAATGGTGGAACAACGGGCTTTTTAAGAAATGGTGTGGGAACAACTGGATTTCCAGCAGCAAAAAGAGAGCGAGCATGTGCTAGAACCTCGACCTCCCACTGCACACAAAATGGATTATGGACTTAAATATAAAATGTAAAACTATAACACTTAGTTCTGAGATTTGACATCGAGGGCATGATATATAAAAGGAAAAATGATAAATTGGACTTCATCAAAAACTTCTCAAAAACTATTGGTCTGTAAAAGATCCTGTTAAAAAAGGGTGAAAAGACAAGCTACAGACAGAGAGAAATATTTGCAAACCACACATCCAGCAAAAGACTGGTATCTGGAATAAACAAAGAACTCTCAAAACGCAACAGTTAAAAAAGAATCCAAGTAGAAAATGGGCTAAAGACATGAACAGACATTTTAACAAAGAGGATATACAGATGGCAAATAAGCACATGAAAAGATGTTCCACATTGTAAGCCATTTAGGGAAATGCAAATTAAAACCACAATGAGATATCACTACATATCCATAAGAATTGCTAAAAAATAGTGACAATATCAAATGCTGGTGAGGATACAGAGAAATGGTCACTCATACATTGCAAGTAGAATGTAAAATGGCATAGCCACTCTGAGAAACTGTTTTTTTCCCCAAATCTAAACATGCAACTATCATACGAAGCAGCAACTGCATTCTTGGGCAATCGTCCCAGAGAAGAGAAGACTGTGTTCACACACAAACTTTTTCACGAATGCTCCAGATGTCTGTCCATGACTGCGTGGTAAACAAACTGTGGCATATCCACAGCACGGAGAACTACTCAGTAACGAAAAGGAACAAACTACTGATACACACGACTCAGGTGAATCTTGAGGGAATTATGCTAAGTGAGAAGGACCAAGCCCAAAAGGTTACAGACTTTATAATTCCACTTATATAACCTTGAAATGACAACACAGAGATGGAGAACAGAGATGACAACACAGAGATGGAGAACAATATTGGCAGGAGGCAGGGATGGTGAGGGGAAAAGAGGTGACTGTGGGTGTACAAGGGCAACGGGAGGGTCTCTGTGGACAGGGCCACTCTGTATCATGACTGCAGTGGAGGACACAGGAACCTGCACGTGACAGAATTCCTGCCCCCTTGCCCCCGACACACACACACGAGGACAAGTAAAACTGGGGAAATCCGAACATGTTCAGTGGGATGTATCAACGTGAAAATCCTGGTTGTGACACCGCTAGTTTTACAAGATGCCACCACGTGAGATGACTGGGTGACGTGGTAGCATCTTGTAACAGGATCTCCGTATTACTTCTCACAACCACATGTGAATCTATAATGATCTCAAAACAAAATTTAACTATCTTTAATTTTTAAAATACACAAACATGCAAATAAAGACCAAGCATGGTTTATTACAACTGGATTAATTTAAGTAGTAAAACTGTATTCAACAGAAATAAGACCTAGTAGAAAAAAAATGATCATGGTTATGCTTTATGAAAAATAAGCATATAATTAAGGTAAAAAAAATTATTGAAACAATCCCCAAACCAATCATATGCAAGAGTATTATGTTTTGAAGCAGTTTCTGTGGACTGCACATAGATGGGATGAGAGCTGTAGGAGGGACGAACAGGCCCTCACTGGAGGGAGGAAAAATAAATCGTGTGTTTTACAACTGATAAAATGTAGAAATTACACGTTTCCCAGTTCAAACAGCCTGAACTTAAAGCTAAATTCTCAACAGTCTGGTAAGCTAGGCAGGATATGAAAGGTAGAGGCATAGCACACGGTCACCTGGGTGGGGAAGGGGCGTCAGTGTGCCTGGTCACGTAAAAATGCATCCAGAAGGCTCAGTGGCTCCCACGCAACAGAAACTCTCCCTCACTCTGGCGTAATGTCCTTCTCACGTTATTCTGAATCGCTTTGCCACTCACCTCTTCAGCCACTTGATCTGTCATTCGCAGTCAGTCCTCTTAATAATCAGTCAGGCCTTAATAATCTAGCTCCGATTACCGTCCCAATGACTTAAACCAGCCTTTCTCTGATGATGGACATGTCTGTATTTGCACTGGCCAGTATGAAACCACTGGCGACATATGGCTTCTGAGCACCTGTGGTTAGTGTGACTGAGGAGTGAGTTTTAAGAAAAAATTAAATTTAAGTAGCCACCTGTAGCTACTATACTGGATGGCGCACGTTAAACCTTTGATCGACGATGGTTTGAGAATACACACGTTTCCCTGCTGAGTCCTCCACTTCACCTTGTTTCTGTCAGCATCTTCCATTTTAACTGTCTCGTATGGTTTGAGAGAGCTAATAATTCTTTCAGAATACAATCCTGACCACCTCCACTGCTACCATCCTACTTCGATCCACTATCACATTTGTCACGACTGCCTGGTCTCCTCACCGGTCCGCCTGCTTCCACACTTGCCACCCTACAGTTTATACAGCAAGCAGGGAAGGGCACCCTTTGATGGCTTCGCCCTGCAGACATGAAAACTCAAGCGCCAAGTCATGATCTACAAGGCCTTCAGTGCCCTGGGCCCTGGCTCCCGCTGGGTGTCACCTGAAACCCCCTGGTCCGTCCTCACTCCGGCAGCCCGTGCAGTGCTGATCGCTCAGCCGAGAACACTCTTCCCTGCGCTTCCGAGACGGACCCGTGACGGTCTCCTTTTCAGTCACAGTTCAAATGGCAAGTCCTCGGAGAGGCCCTCCCTAATCTGCTGCAAAAGCACACTGCCTCCCCGCCTTCCGCGCCCCCCGCCCCTGCACTCCTACCCCGTCACCCCATTCACCCTCATGCTCACCTGCACGCTCACCCACCGGCCATCTCCCGTCTACAAAGGACAGAGACTGCATGTGGAGCGCCGCTTTACCCCAGAGCCTCACACAGTGCCTGGCACGCAATAAAATTGTTGAACAAATGGGGAAAAAAAAAAAAAGTCCCCTATCACTTCCTCAAAATCTCCCTCTCGGTTATTCCACGTCTGTCGTCTCTAACAACGATTTCTCTCCACTAGACATTTTCGTCGGCATACAAACTGCCCTCCTTTAGAAGTCCTTTGTTGACACCAAAACACCAGTGAGCTTAGTTCTGTGTCCCTGCTACCTTTCAGAAACCAAATCTCACCAGAGCAGCCTCTTCTCTTTCCACTCCCTTCCCCCTCCCCCCCCACTTACCCTTCAGCTCAGCCCTTCGGACCCCGATCACACCCACGCCACTGCTCAGGGCAAGGCTCTCCATGCAGCCGGCTCCAGCTTCATCTGCATCTCCTGACGACAGTCTTCAAAACCTGCCGCTCCCTTCCTGAACACTGCCCTCTGCTGAGCTCCCCAGCACCGGCTCTCCTCCCACCTGACAGCTGCTGCTCAGTCTCCTTTGCTGACTCTTCCTCTGGTACGCAGTGCTGAAATATCAGGGTTCCTCAGGGTGTGGGTGGGAGCCCACTTCTTTCTGATTACTCCCTATATAATCTGTTTCTGATGATTTAAGCTGATTATCTTTATGCTGACGCCCGCATTTATTCAATTTTAAAACATATTACTCTTTTGTTTAAAATCCTTCCAGTGGCCTGTTTCTGTGTATGGGGGGGTTTGTTTTGTTTGTGCCGGTCCTCTCCCATTAGAACATAAACTCCATGAGGATGGGAGTTATGTCTACTGAACCCACTTTTTCACATTCCAGAGTGTAGCAGAGGCTGGCAAAAGACTGGATGAATATATTACCCCAGGGTGACTCAGGATCCAGTCATCGACACAGAAGTATAAAGGTTGGGAACATCGGGGACTGTCCTTTTCAGGTAAGACCATGACATGTCCAACTAGAAAACACCGGGACACTGGGTAAACTCTGCAATCACCGGAGGAAAGATGTGTCAGCCCCTGCCTGCCCAGGCGAATTCTTTTCCCTGGGCTCCTGAGCCCATGCCCACCTTCCTCCTGTGACATTTACTCCATCAATTTTATGCCACTCTACTGTCCTCCCAACCAAACCTTTCCCGTTTCGTTGGGGCCTTCCTCCGCATAAAATATACGTAAATCCCACCTCAGACTTGAATACAAAACACAAACTGAAACACACCAGCTCTCCCCAGTTCTTAGGTTCCCCTCTAGCTACAATCTTAGTTCTTTTTCATGTCCTCAGCAAAATCTCAAGTTCATCTCGATTTCTTGATTCCTCCCACGTCGATGCTTCCTCCTCCTTGGCTGTCAAATCTCTCACTTACCTAGCTGCCCCTCTGCAGCATTTAACCTATTAAAATACCTGGACGCGGCCTTCACCTGTGGCCCTCGTGGCATCACTCCCTCCTGGTTTTACTCTTGACAATGTAACGATTCTTTTTCAGGTTCCCCTTTCTCTCGCTTTCTACAGGGTCTGTTTTTCCTCATTCTGTAAACTCTCCAAGATGCTCCCAACCTCTGCCACCATCTGAATGCTGGTGATGCCCAAATCCTCATTTCCAGCCCAGCCCTCTCTCTCTAGTTCTACATTATGTACCTGGTTTCTCACCGGACATTTCCCCTCGATTGTCCCCAAAGGCATTTCAAACTCAGGAAGTTCAGGATCTCCCTGGCCTCAGATAGGACCCTGTCCTTGTAATCCCAGAACCAGTGCCTACCCACTCACACATCCAATCGAGGATCTGGAAGAAAACCCAGACCCCCCCCCTCCCCCCGCTTTCACTTTCCAAATGCAGACCCAAGGCTGATTGTTCGCCCTCTTCAATTTGTGTCGGATCAATCCCTTCTCCTTTATTCCAGCAGCTACACGACTTCGGCCCTGACCTCTCCCATCACACAGAACCCTGCCTAACTGGTCTCCCTGCTTCCAGGTTTGCTATGTCCCCTGTATGCCTGATAGTTCTGCTGTAAAACGAAAACCTGAGCACATGAGCGTCTATGACTCCCAATCTACACAGCAGGATGAGGACCAAAGATCTATGTGCAGCGCGCACAGCTCTCCTCATGACATGGCCTAACCAGGCTCCCCGTCCCACCCCGCACACTCAGTCCCAGTCATGCCCAACTACTGAGACAACACAGACAACTCAGACTCCAAGCTTCACTGTACTCTCCACGCAGAATACCCAACCCCACTGTCTCCCTGTAAAACTCCAGCTTCTCCGAGGCTCAGCAGTCGTGGTCCTCCTGCTGCAGAGCCGTCCCAACAGCCCAGGCGGCCTATTCCTGTGCTTCCTGTAGGTTTCCACACCCCTGGACACACTTCCAATAATCACACAGTATCCTGTTAGTCACTTAACGTGTCTGCTTTCACATCAAAATAGAAGCCCTTGGAAGTCAAGGATAATCTTTTATGATTCCCCAAGAGTTAGCAAAATTCATGGCATAACACTCAAAATATTTAGGACTAACCTTTGAGTTCCATGCTACTGCTTTACTTGCAATTTCTCCCAACCCTTTCTCACCAAAGTTTATTACATTTCTAGACTGAGGCATACGTTTTTTCTCTGCCTGAATGAAACTCACCTACCTATCCAAGCAAGCATAATTTTGTAGTGAAAATAACACAAACTTGTAAGCAGGCAGACCTGGATTCAAAACCCTTCAACATTTATTAACTGTATGTCTTTGGGAAAATCTAACCTTAATTAAAGCTTCGGTTCCTTATACTGCAAAATTGGAATAATTCACCTTGAAGAGCTGTTCTGTGGATTAAGTGAGATCACATTAAACATCAGGCAATTACTGCCAGTATCTTTCACTTTACCTAAGCTCACAATCGCCTCCTCTGTGGAACATTTCTCATTTGTCCTCTGAGAGTTAGATCTGCTCTCCCACACTAACTTCTAATTCTACCATAGCACTTATTACATTATTTTATAATTTTCATTTTTAGTTATCTGCATTCCTTTGTTAGGTTATAAGCATCTGGCTACAGGGGTTTTTGCCTTGTTCGGTGGGAATGTTATTCATTACTTGAGTATTTTGCATCCAAGTTTCCTAGGTTCGAAGGTTGAAAAGGTTGAATGAGAAAGTTTACCATTAAGAGAATTATAACTTGATACTTCTCCCTGCTTAGTACAAGCAACTATGCCTTTAATGTGGGTCCATCTTTAGCCCATTCGCTGAAGAACATGCAACAATCCTATTCAAATACGATGCCAACAGACTACAGAATGAAACTGCAAATCTTCCAAAAGAAAAAAAAGATATCAATAAATGGACAAAAATCATGTTGCAGAATGCCCAAATCAAACCAAGGATGACAGGATGGGCGTTTCAAAAGAAGTTATCTTTGCTATGCATAGAAACAATACTTCTATGAAATGACCAATATTTCTTTCCAAGTACATTTACCAAAAACCCTTTCTGAATGGGGCTACAAAAAACTACTGTCAAGTGAAGACTGTTGTATTTTAGTGTAATGCAATCTTGTTGGAAAGGTACATTAATCAACACGTGACTTGTTCTTTATTCTAAGAAATGTCAGTTGAAATTTTAATATTTTATGAAAGATATAAACATTCATTTTCATAATCTTTTGGGTTGATTCTCAAGATAAAAGTCCTAAGCAAGCCCCTTTCCCCTCCACTCTTTTTTGTAAAATTTTGGTTTCTATTTAAATGGGTCTACTTTCAGAGGTCTTTCGTCAGGATCAACGATGATAGGTCAAGTAGGTCCTCCATTATCCTTGGTTCCTGTACCAGGCACTCAACAAATGCCTTTTAAACAAAGTATTGCAAGACCAAGACAAGGATTCAGTATAGATATTTCACCCTACTCTTTGGTCCCACACTGACCTGGTGATGGGGCATTTCGAGGCCAAGCCACATTCTAAACCCCATTGAAGCCCTAGACCCACTGAGGATGGGAGACACTTTCAGAAATTCCTTTTTCTGTGTCCATTCCACAGAGGTCTAACGATTAAACCCCACTGAAGCCCTAGACCCACTGAGGATGGGAGACCCTTTCAGAAATTCCTTTTCTGTGTCCATTCCACAGAGGTCTAACGATTAAGTCTAAAACTTAGCATCCCATGATATACGTATAAACCATCGTGCTCACTGCTGTGGGGATGGGGAGGCGAAGCCACAAAGTAATTTAAAAATATTCCCTGCTCTCATATATTACGTTTTGGAAGCCACAGGAGAGCGCACCTAAACTCATATGCTCAAAGAATTCAGGGTTTCCGCAGACTCCGAGGCTGCGCTCACGTTCCTATTCACCCGACAGCGCGAAAAGAAGGGCTCTGCTATAGCAACTGGAGGAACGAAGAACGAGGACCACCCTATCGTCGACTGGTCCAGGGCACTGCTGTGTAAACATCACGTTCCTTCCACCCTCCCTTACACTGAATAAAGCGTCTGTTCACGGCTCTGTCCAGTGCGGTGCAGACCCGGCTGGTTTGAAAAAAATAAAGAAAGAAAGAAAAGCCTCGACCAAAGTCAAGAGTCTCGGAAAGCCAATGGGCTCCGGAGCCCCCGGAAGCTGGCAAAAGGAAGCGGACTCTCCCACCTGCACCTGGGCGCCGCCTCCGCCCCGCACCAGGGGCGCGGCCGCTTCTTCCCTCCTCCCCGGCCCCCGCCCCGCGCTTCCCCTCGGCGCCAGCTTTACAGGGGGAGGGTGGGTAGTGATACCTGGAGGTTGGACGTGGTGGACGCCATGGCGGAGATCCGAGGCGGCGCCCTAGGGAGGAACGAGGGCAGAGGACCAACAGCAGCGACGTCGAACCACGCCCGGTGTAGCCCCAAACGCACGCAGCCCGGTGAGGCTCTCCGGCGGCTTCCCTTCCGGAACCCGTTCCAAAGCAACACGCCGCTCCCGGAGCCGCCAGACCCTCCTCACAAAACTTCCGCAATCCCAAGCCCCTCCGGGCTCGCGTCCCGCCTCTTGCCTGGGCACTTCCGCTTCCGTCATCAGCGCGCGCGCGCCCCAGTCCTCAGCCATCCGGGTCTCGCCTCAGCCTGGGGCATCGCGAGGCTGGGAGAGGTGTTCCTGAAGCCCACCGAGGGCCTGGCGGAAGTCGGGCTGGGCGCAGGCGCACTGCCGCTGCGGCGCAGGGGCAGGGAGGCCACCTCAAGCCGAAAAAGCGATTCTTGTTTCTTCTTTTTCTTATACTTTAAGATGAGTTATTATTGGCGCTGGCTCATGTTCGCCTACGTCATGGCGCATGCTCTGTCGCTCTAAAGCCTTTGAGTTGAAAAAGGTCATCCCATCTCCAAGACCCATGGGGTGTGGACTTTGGATTTGTTACTGTGCCCGGCTTACTGTTTTCTCATCTAGAAGGCGGGTGATTGTAGACGTCAGGGTTGTGAAGAATACTAGTGGTGCTGGGTAAGGCGCATAGCACGGTGACGGGTGAACATTAAGGTATCAGTACGTGGTAGCACTTGTTACTGCTCACACTTTACACTTCATCCAACAAGCATTTTTTTCAAATGGTTATTGTCATGGGTCTACAAGGCCTTGAGAATATATATATTTTTTAACTTAAAAACGTTATAGTCGTTTAGCCAACCCAGGAAGTGACCCCCCCTTTACTTTAGCAACCATCTGGCGCTACACACAATTATAATAACATTGACTATATACCCTATGCTATACTCTAAATTTCCACGACTGTTTTGTAACTACTGATTTGTACTGCTTCATCTCTTAACCTTTTCACTCACCCCCTTCCCCCCCTCCCCAAACCTTCCCCTCTGGCAATCACCAGTTTGTTCTCTGCATCTTTGAGTCTGTTTTCATTTAGTTTCTTTCTTTTGCTCCTTAGATTCTGCATATAAGTGAAAGCATATGATATTTACTTTTGTCTGACTTATTGCACTCAGCATAATATCCTCTAGGTCTTGAGAATATTAATATAAGATGTGAATGGCCATTGCCCTCCAGGAGCTTATAGTCTGGTGGGGATGCAGACGCCTGAATACAAGTCTTGTGACACTGGTAGATCAGATTCTATTTATAACAGTTGTAACAAGAAAGGGGGATGGTTTGAGAGGTTAAGGGCTTTAGACGAGATGACGAGATGACGTGTGTGAGAGATTAGTAGCAGAACTAAAATAAGAACTTTCCTCAGCCTTTTATTGTTTGTAGTCACAATCTTTTTTCTTCTTCCTTTCACAGTTAAGTGTGGGGGATTCAGAATAAGTCACTTCAAGATATGCCTCAGTCGTATGCAGATTATTTTAAACTAAAGGCAACTTCAGCTGCAGGCTCAAGAGAAAATTTCGCCCCTCCCTTAACTACTTAGGCGAATTTGAATTAGGGGCCTTACCCATACTTAGTAAGTATCAGAGGTAACCTCTTTTAACCTATTTATAGAGCAGGATAGTCTTCCATTTGCTAAGCATCTGCTCTTCTCGTCATCTGCAACGGATCACTGAAGCCTCCAAAGCACCTGATCTCACCCCTAGCTCAGAATGTCTTACGGACACGTGTTTCCTTTCTGTCTCCAAATTACTCATGCATGCAAGGCCTCTGATCTTAGGTATACAGGGTTCCCATACATATGTATGTGTTAAATTTGATTATTTTCTGGTGCTAATCTGCCTCATGTCTATTTTATTATTAGACCAACCAGAAGAACCTGGAGGGTAGAGGAAAGTTTGTTCCTTCCCCACATAAGCGTCTCAGAGGAAAGCCAGGAGATGCTTAATTGCTCCATCATTTCATTTCCCACTCGCTTCCTAATTCTTTCCGATCATCTATCATCTCTTAAATAATTAAAGTGCTTCTCTCCCCTTATGTATTTGGTATTGTCAACTAGCCAGTTAAAGAAATATCACATGTATAGTGTCCTAGATTCTTCATCTCCTTCCTGTCTCCCTTCTTACTCCTCTCAGTGTGCAGAATTTCCTCAAGTCTGACGTCCTCTTCTCCCTCACTCCTCCATCTCTGCTCACCTTATCCTCTTTCTGGACTTCAGATAACAGTAGAATAGAAGTGCCTTCAAATTTAGATCTCTAGGCCTATCCTGTCCTGTGTCCAGCATGTACAGCTAACACTCAGAGAGTCCCGAAACTCACCTGGTTTTCCCACTTTTTTTGAAGCAAATTTAATTGTCTTCTACCATTAAACTTTTTTCTTTGTTCTCTCCTTCTCTGAATGATGTCACTAAACCTCCATCCAGGCTCAAAGCTCAAAGCCCTCTCTCTGCCTGCATCTGCCAGTGCTCCGTCCACTCCTTGCTCTCCTCACGGTAACTGATAAAACACTGTAGAGCGTTAGTGTGTAATATACATTTAATAAATATTAAACTGTTTACCTGAGCTGCCTAAAACAAGTTGCCTAAAACAAGCTGCCTAAAACAATGACTATCAAATAACTTTGATTTTGCCTGGAGATACAACCAGACTCCAATTTACCTTTCAATTCAATCCAAAAACATTCACTCACTGAACACCCATCCACTAAACACAAGTCTACTAGGCAGTAGGAAACTACGACGATGAATAAGATTGACCTCTGCCGTTTACGAGTTTATGATTAATGAGAGACACAGACACATACCAGTAAAAAGAGAATTCACTGAGATAATTAAGTACCACCACGTACCAAACCGTGTTAGATGCTGAACATGAACCAAACAGTCAAAAATCCCCCTTCTTTCCCCAATAATAAGTCATACTGATATTGTGTACCTGCTAATATGCAATAAAAAGGGCTTCATCTGTGGTATTTTCCAAAATCAATAACCTCAGTTTAATCTTGAGAAAAACAAAAATTGAGCGTTTTTTTTTTTTTTTAAATTCTACAAAATACCTCACCAGTGCTCTTCAAAAACGTCAACACATGAAAGACAAGGAAAGACTGAGAAACTGTCACAAGTTGCAGGAGGCTAAGGAGACGTGACGATGAAGTACAATATGGGATTCTGGGTTGGATCCTGGGATGAAAAAAAGACGTTAATGGAAAAAGTGATAAAAATCCAAATAAAGTCTGTATTTTAGCTAATAGTATTATACTGCTATTAATTTCTTCCTTTTGATTAAAAAACACCAGGATTATTTAAGATATTAACAGTAGGAGAAGAGTATATGACATTTCTCTATATATCTTTGCAACTCTTTTGTAAATACTATTTTAAAAAGTTTTTCTTTAAAAATTCCTGTTCTTTTAGGAGTTTACATTTTTGTGAAATAGAAGCTTTTTACCTTTTACATGATTAAAAATGTAAATGTAAAAATGTTACATACACGGTAGTTTAGAAAGTACTTTCACATACATTATCTTATTTCTTAATTCTGGAAAATAAATCTTAAGTATCCCATTTTTATAAGTGAGGAAACTAAGGCTCAGAGAGAGAGAAGTTCCCCAATCCGTGCAGCTGCGAAGTGGCAGAGCTGGAGTTTGAACTGAGGTCATCTGACTCCAAGTTCAATATCAGAAGACAGACAGTGCCAAATGCTAGAACAGGGGCAGGTTGCACCATAGGGCCACAGAAGAGAGAACGCTTAATTTGGAAAGGGTTGGTAGGAGTTTCTTAAGGAAGGTGTCAGTTAAACTGAATCTCAAATCTTAAACTGATTTTAACAGAAGCTATGCCATTTCAGGCAGGAGGAAGAGCATGAATAAAGGCACGGAAGAGTAGAATACATGACCTGTCCGAGGGATGGCTGGACTGTGGAGAGCTGTGGGGGAGGAGGGGCAGGAGAGAAAGCTAACAATGTCCCAGTGGGCACTGCCCAAGACTTTGAAAACAGAGAGTTTGGACTTTGTTCTGTAGAGAGTAAGAATTCACCGAAAGGTTTCCCCCTCCCTTGCTCACTTCCTATCTTTTTTCCTGTTGGAAGAAAGTAGAGTCTTGATTTGGTCAGCCATTGGTTTTAGGAAGTTGGCTCTCAGGTTTTTTTTTTTTTAGAATAGACCAGGGAGAGAGAGGAGGCAGGAAGATGAAGTAGGAGGCTACTGCAATGATGTTACATTTCAAAAAACAGGATATGAGCCAAATAGCATATTGCCCATTCCCGAAGCACAGCCTCTCCTTGGGTTTTGATTTAATACATCCTCTGTCTTAATCGCTTTCACCAGTTCGACCTGTTAAAAGCATTCTTCAAGGGCCTCTTCCAGTGTCAGTTCCTCAAGAAATCTTCAAAACCTCTCTGAACTCTTAGCACTTTGGACCTTGAATTATCCTTAGATGATGCCTGCTAAGTGCCTAATACAGTGCCTGGAGCATAGCAGACACTCAAAAATTGTTAACCTCACCTGCACAGTGTTCATCCTCTCTCGACTGTACAATCACCAAGACTTCATCTTCATCATTTTTGTAAAATTCCGCGCCCGTTCCCTCACTCCCCACATATACACATGGAGTCTGTGCTTAACCGGTCAGGGTTCGTTTGCCAAAGCAAAGTCCCCCTGCTCGTTACCCAGGGCTTCAGAGATTAGGGAGGTCGGTGGGCTGGTAGGTGACATTTGTGAATTCCGCTGCAGCAGGGCCTCACATCCAGCCCATCCAGGACCGAATCCATCTCTTCCAGACAGTCTTAAAGAGAATGTGTACTATTCAAGCCCTCACATGCCGGCCACTCATGTCCACCTAGAAGTCAGGTCTCTTCTCTGTGAATCACCAGCTCCCTCCCTGACCTGGAACAGAAGCCTGAGTGAGGACGGCAACACGCTGACAGCACTGCTCGTGTGAAGGAAGTGACTCAGGCAGGAAGCCTGTTCTCCATCTGAGGCAGCTCACCTTTCTGAACAGGCTCAGTGATCCTTGAGGCCCAGCCTGTTGCTATTGCTATTGCTATTGCTATTCATTTACTCATGTGAAGCCACAGAGAGAGAGACAGAGAGAGAGAGAGAGAGAGAGAGAGAGAGAGAGCTTCTGGACTGCTAAGTGGGTTTGGGAACCAGCCCGTCAACCTATCAGTCAGCCATGTCTTGGAGGGCGTG